TAGATTCAGACGCATTATGTCATTGCATTGCTCGCTGGTGTCGTTATTACTTGGTGAAAGAGGATGCAATTGAGGTAACGTGTAATGAGAATAAAATTGTAGTCATTTTGAGTGTAATGTTTGCTTGTTTGACAGCGTGGGGAATCCATTATATTGCGTTCACTAATTGCAAGCATATATCCATGCATGGATAGTGGTGCACAAGGTATTTCATTTTTACATGCCGTTCGACCACCTCCGCTAAAATGCCGCAATAAACGAGAAAAAGAATCTCTGCCATTTAACGATTGTCCCCTCCTTTTGCTGGTTTACATGGACTTGTTTCGAAATACATATACCTTCATCATAATCGTGCTTAATAACTTGGGCGCCATTTGCACGTGTTCTTTATAAGCTTTGAAATAAAATGCTTTAGGAAAATCGAGTGTTGGCTGCAACTCTATTGGTAAGTTACGCAATATTAAACATACTATTTAAAAAAAATAAAAATATTTTTAACAAAATCCAGGCATTGATACCATGAAGAATATTTTAACAAACTCCAGGCATTGCTACCATGAAGAACCGCACATGCTTCCATTTTACAAATATCGTGACGGAACTGAAAATACCGAAGTCGAAATTAACCGAACTTAAACACCTCCTGGCATTTTGCTTTATCAAAAAAAGTGTTTTCGTTTTGCGCAAAAAATGAACCCGCCCTTCGAGAGCCCCATTACTGTGAATGATTCGAATTACTGTAAAGAAATAATTCAATAACTAAGAGTTGCTGCCTTTTTTTTCTTCTTTGATGTCTCATTCAAAAGTGAGTAACTTTTATTTCTATGGGAAAACAGCAATTGAAAAAAAAATGAAATCTGTTTTCGGGGTGAAATTCGAAAATAGCATCTTAGTTTTATCATGATGCAATCAGCTTAAGGTGTTCGCTTAAAACGGGAGCATTAATGTGTAACGTCCAGTGTGACAATGACATGGGACAAACTGATGATATGAAAGCGGGGAGAATTCAAGAAATTTGTTGATTTCCAGTGAATTGAGGGGTCAGTGGCGACACCATAACTTGTCCTTAATTTGTTGGCAACGAAATTACCACAAATATTTCCGCGACAGTGATTTTGTTACGATCAACTTTTTATCGCAATATGTTGTTTATTGTGCGACTGTTGAAATCAATTAAAGTTAGGCCCAACACCACTGGTGCGCGGGATTTGCTTCATTGTTTATACTTTTTTTCTTTACTTTACGATGTAGGCCTACTTCTCAGAGAAGTCATTTTCTCTATCAAACTGCAAAAGAATCATTTTGGTTCCGTTTATGATGTATGACCTAAATAGGTTTCCACAGTAATATCGGGATCTTTATTTGCTATTACATGTATTTTCGTTAAATGAAATAGATATCCAATGATGTTTTCTTTATATCACATTCCCCCACTGTAATTGTGGGCTCCTTATACGTACGTGCTTTATACATAAATCCCGCTGTGCATCCTTGGAAGGTTGAAATTCATTACACCTTATTAATTTGAGGGAACACAATTCATCGATGGACCTGGACCAGGGAGGGTCCACGAATTTAGGTTCGAATTAATTGCATAAAGTAGACAGTGGTAATGGCTCGGTAACAGTTTGAATGTTCATGGGGGATAGGAAAAGAATCGTCCTAATACGTGTGTATGTGTATTACAAAGTCACCCCCACCACCATCCCGGCCCCCACCCACGGACTCAGCACTGGTATTTCTGCTTATTCCATGACGCAACCAACTGAATTCCTGTTTATACCGAACTAAAATCCTGTTGTCAACAACCCGTGTCTTTTGATTAGTGAATGCCCGGGCTTAAAGCCTTGCCGTGGGTCATTGGGGAGGAATGCACAATGTGTGCGCAATCAACCCACAAAAAGCAGAAAACATACGCCGAGCTTAATATATTCAGCAACCAAAAACCCGCCTGCGAAACCACGCTTGAATCACGTATTCATCAGCTGCAGAAATGTGGAATTTCTTTCTTTGGTTTTGTTTTCACGCAATCAATAACACTGGGCCTAACACCCCCCAAAAATGTTGCCGAGTTATTTGCCACTGCAGTAAGTACAAAAATGTGACCCAGGGGGTAAGCGAGCGGACCAGACGTATTTAGAGTGCCTTCCGTTGTAGGGACGTTACCGGGTACGTCTGCCTCAAGTTCACCATCAATTAGGTTGAATGATTAGACATGGGGCAGGTGCATTGGCCTCTGCGTTCATTGACCTGACCACGAAATGCTCGTCGGCAGCACAGCACACATACCCTTACCGTATTATTGGGCGTTTAGCCGGCTGCGCTGTTTAGGTTAGGTAATGGTAATGATTGACCAGAATTTAAAACCGGACTCCCCCCACCGAGAGGGGCAGGCATAAAAAATGACCCGGCCGTGACCGGGCTTTTGAATCCATTGACCTACCTTACTGACCGGCGTCAAGGACTTTATCATCGTTTTTTTTCCGGACCGGTCAGTTCGCTGGTCACTTAAGTATTAAACATAAAGGCCTCATGTCATCCTTGGCCTGGCCGAACTGACCCCCGTGATAGCTAGCCGGCCGCAACATTCTTACGTGTCCATTGGACAACTGGTCATAACAATCCGGCCAAAGGGTCGCAATCCAACTGACCACAAACGTCACCCTGACCCGGCTGAACTAATTCAGATTGACGGGCCAGTTGGCAGGAATGCAGTAATCATGTCAGATTGTTCTTGGCATGTCCAGTTCAACCCGATAAAAATCACAAAAACCAACAATAGCAATTTATCATTAAGAGCATCAGATTGTGTGTGCGAGCTTACCAACAAATCCGGAATAAAAATGGTGGTAGCGAATCTTATGTAGAAAAACCGTATAACTATAAGTAATAGGGTTTCTTTCTTTTTTCTGTTTGCTTGAACCATATAGTGCCAAGGAACAACACAAAAAATGAACAAAGATAAAATATATTCAGAGCAAGGAAATTGAGACTTTAATATAAACAATGCCATTCAGTTTCTTGCTTTTGTTACTAGTATGGTACATTCATTTAGGCCTGGGTAAGGCATCTTTCTTTGCCGTGTGTTTATAACAGTTTACTATTTGAAAAGAGAGCTAAATGACGTGAGTAGTTTCCAATAAAAAAGGATTCACCGTTCACTTCATTTGAAAGGTTGCACGTTTCAAATACTCCTTTGTAAAAAAGTGTTTTGTTGTGGCGTAGCGAGCGAAAATAGTAGCGTTTGTAAATATAAACCACAGGTTTTTTTTGTAAAGCTTTAGCTGAAAATATTTCATTCAAGCAGGTGGAGAATCCGAGAAGCAATGTTACAGATATTGGGCAATAAATACACGCAAGCAGTCAGATTAAGTGGGGCAACCGGCTGTGAACTGAGATCTTTTCAGTGAATTCCGAGAATTACCGCAACGGAGGGGGGTTGGAGTGCGTACAGCCGACCGGTCACTGGCGGGGTAGAGTTACAAACAAATCCACCCATTGTTTGGTGTTATTACCACGAGCCCCGCACCATCAGCAATCGTAAATATCTGTGGCCTGCGTTGACCGGCGATTACGGTCAAGGTGAGACGAGGTTAATTGTAATGTAAGCTTATCACGATGGGCTGTTATATGCAATCTGGCCAGATTTTTTTGTGAGAAAAAGAACATCGTGTGTCTTGTCCCTGACCGCGACTATATAGGGTTACGCCAATAATGTGCTGGTTTGCATGTCCGCTCGTTAGTTGCTCGAAGGGTTTACATAGCCATTGCGACCGGGCGGGCATCTTTTGTGTGTATGTGTCCCAAGCCAGCTTGGCCTATCCTCGACCTCATGTGAGGTCAGCCACGTAACGCGTCACATGGTCTTATGAACAGCTGCTGATGGAGTGAATGGCTTTAACGTGCCTTGTCCTCGGGTGTGGATGCAATAATAGCGACGAAGGTGATCATTCCAGGTATAATTACGCGACAACAACTCGTTAAAAGGCGAGGTCCTGCCTCTCAAAGGTTTCAAAGAATGAGAACGCACGTAACTGATCATATAGCCTTTCATACGTAACTGATCATACGAACTGCAGACAAGTCCAATAATAACTCTTTGTTTTTGTTTTTTACACCATATCGGAAATCCAAAGGTCGCGGGTTCATTAAAAAAAAACCATCTTATTAGTGCAACAAGATTGCAGTGGTTTTGCCATTTCGTGTTTTGGAAGTGCTATCGGATTTGATACTATTATTGGCCAACAAAAACATCAGTTGATCAGTCAATCGATTTAATCAATCTTTCGGTCGATTATCCTACCATTATAATATCACTTGGAAAATACATAGTATAAGAAGTATATGTGAAGTGCGGGCAAACAGGTGTATTCGGAGAATTCCCTTCACACCTCATTTATTGGCTCAAGCAGTATGCGAAGATCTCTTTTCGCCACTGTCTTGTGAATTGCTACAAGGATTCCCCATTCCCCGGCCAAAAAAACTGTTTTTCTCTGACTTGACTCTCCACATACGCTCGAGGGTCTGTTGAAGTTAATCATTAAAATGAAAATCAACAATCGACATACAATAAGCTTAAAACACACTGGGTTTTTTTTTATGGCATAATATATTTACATTTTAATCATCTGAAACTGTTGCTCTGTTACAGATCTTTTATTTTTTATCTTAAATTATTTAATAAATTCCACCCTTCCTTGGTGCATGATATAGCTTCAAGCAAGACGAACCCCTTTTCTCTGTTCTACCTCAAGTTTTCATTTTCCAATTAAATCAGAACATTGAAGGTATAATACAAAGACAAAGGACGGTTCGTCGCCCACTTATTCGCAAATCGCACCTTTCGTAATCACAAAAAATAGCCCTGTGGGCTAATTCATTATTTCCTATCCTACATCAACAAAAATCAAACAAAACAGATAAATGACAAATCCAAGAATTATCTTTCAAGCTAATAAAGGTATAGTTTAGGTCTGTGTCCAGCAAAGAAAACACCATTAAGCCAGCAAATCAGAGAAACTTCTACCTGGTAAAAATCTCGTGATTTAAATAACTTCTTGAAAGACAGACTTTGTTCGATTGCAAAAGAAGAAAGCCATAAACATGATAAATGTCCCCCTTGCAATGTTCACAATAAATCAGAGTTTAAACGGACGAACACAATACATCGACGATGATTCCTACACCGTATCACAAGATAGTATCACATTCAATTCAAAGAAACGTTTAGAACTAAAACAAAATATTATAGCACCAAAACACAAACTGGAATGCTGTGAAATCATATTATAACATCAAGGTTTTATCGTGTGCAGCGGCAGCATTTATCATTTCGCGTATGTATAAAGAAGGCAAGATTGTTTTTCCCCTTTGAATTTGTAAAGCCGGTAGTCGGTATTTGTCATTGGTTGTGATTACATTAGGTTATGTAACTTCGCCCGGCCTTAACCCGCGCTGTACTGATCACGTTCTGTTTTGTCTGTGGTTCTAGTTAGGAGACCGTATGTATACATAACGGCAAACATCTCGATTACACATAGGCCTAAATAGCGACTATGGTCTAGGCCATTGGTGAAAAAAACATGGGAAAACAACAAAAATACTAGCAAGTTAGCTCCAAATAGACACAAATAACCTCCGACGTCTGTAAACCAAGTCCAAGTCCCTTTCATCTACAACTTTTTGAATCCAGCTTTAAAATGTTTTGTTGCGAAATAGAATCATTTGTATTGGGACTATATACTTAGTGCGTGATACTGATTGGCTTATATACTGCACTTAATGACCTGTTATTTAAGCCTCTAATATTTCATTTTTTTCAGACAGCTCTTGATTACAGCTGTTTTCCCTGAGAGATAAAAACATTCTTTACATATCCGACCGGTTCGACTTATCCCAACATTATCATCTATAGCACTATATGTACCACTGCACTGATCATTGTTTTAAAATACATGTATAATATGCAACGGAGCTTCAAGCTCGACAAAATGCTACGACACTGTGCATTTCACCTAATAAAAATACATGTACAGGAAACTGCCAAGTTTTGCAACTTCTGGAAGTTAGCAGTGCCTTCCTCATTAAACCATCTTTACGCATTTTATACAATAAAATATCAATTAAGTTGGCGGGATAGAGAACAATTATATAAACCACAAAAACGTGGACCAAAATGTATTGAATACATACTTGGCTTGAGTTGTATACTTGTAACAAGATACTGCAGATTCCAGTAGTATGTTCACTTACTGTCTGCACAGTAACCTCGAGCAAAAACTCCAACGGCAAAGTTTTGATGCCAGGTTCGCTCATGCTCGGCAACATTTTCGTGTCGGCAAGTTCGCGCCTTTTAGCGCACTGCAGCATTCTTATAGTCATCCTAAGTAATAGGACGCTATCGCCTTACACAACATTTCAGTTTATTTCGACTAGCTGAGAGGTGCAAACAATCAGCAGTTGTACACCATGTAATGAAGCCTCCCCATTTCGCTCTTGAGAATGGACACCTCTGCTCTCAGCTTCATGTTTTCCTGCTCCAGGAATACGGCACGGAGGGCGATCTCTTCCTCTTTTTCTCGCCGGGCATCGCGGGAGCGTTTGGCCGCGTCGTTGTTCTTTCGTCTGCGGTCCCAGTAGCAATTGTCTTTTTTCTCCTCGGGGACTGGTCGGACCTTCTTTCTGGTAGGCTCTGAAATAATGCTGATGTCCGCGCCCTTGTCTGTGGAGGAGGCGGCCGCTCGTCTCTTTCTTGATGCAAGCAATGCTGAGAGCCTCAGCGTCGAGAGCGATGGTGCTGTGCTATCAGCAGCTACTGGGTAGCTGCCGTACAGTGGGTAGGTTGCGGCACCGTAGCCTGCTGCGCCGTAACCCGCCGGTGTGAGCGCCGAGCTCGTCTCGCCCAGGTACGAGTACGGGGAGAGTGTTGAAGAGATCGGTAATGACGGGTAGGGGTAGAAAGTCTTGTAGGCAGCGGCAGCGGCCGATGACGAGGCCGGGAGGGCGCGGTGGCTCAGATCTATCGGTTTGGCCCCGATGGTGAAACCGCTCTTCGGTGCAACTTTTGAGGGGCGAGACGGAGCGATCATGTTGGCTACGTCGTGGGCGTGCTTCCGGACTGTAGCCACTGGTTTGCTGTCTGTGGTTGATTCTGCCTGATGGCACTCGTCGTCTTTGCTCACCATCTTGCTGGTAAAAGATTCCCGGTGGTCCTTGCAGATGGCTTTCTCTCCCATTCTATATCGGCTTGGTCCCGGTGCTGATGTGACCTAAAACACGGAAAAGTAACCCAAACAAAATCGTACGTGAGAGAGATAAAAGCCTCTGTCCCATGTAGCCTATGCACACGCGTTGATCACAATGTGAACACCTTTTTAAGCCTGTGAAATACAACCAACCCATGCATGACGATAGACCTATATATTTCTACATCAATACCTATCGCCGGATTCCTTTTGAAATTTTTTTTTCTTCGGAACTTATAATTTGTATGTAACGAATACGGCACATGCACTGATGCGATTTTTACATTGGTTTCATGCGCGCCTGGTTTTCATCGCAATATCATACCTGCACAAAAATGTTGTCAGACACACGAAAGGGAAACTAAAATACTCTTACACTCTGAACGGTATTTCAAGAGACAAACAAATGCTGCACGGAAATAATCGAACAACGGGCAATATTATTTGCGAACAAAACAAACATAGATAAAAAATGGTTGAACTTACTTTCAGCCCGATGCGTGCTGGGAGCTACAACAGTCTACAGACGCAAAGTACCCGCGTTTATTGCAACGTTCTTGATCACTGACTCGTCACTATATTGCCTGGAAAAGTCGCTAATTGTGCTCGTTGTCGGTCAACTCTTGTCTCGTGCTGACCCCAAACTACCTCGGCTTATATAGGCGGCTGTGATCCGTGCACTTGTGACCTTAGGTGTAGCGGTGACGTCGCACAATGCGTGACCTTAACGCTGTCAACTTGGCGCATTGAATGACAGCAGGGCCAGGACTGAACCCTAATAGCGCCGCCTTGGTGTTGTCTCTTACCTAATCACGCTAATCATGCCAGGCAAGGGCGAATTCTGGCTCTGTTTCTCGGGGTTTTGTCTCCAGAGTAGAGCGACGTTAATTATCCACGCTGTAAGAATTGGGGGCGAAATTACGCTGCGTAGGACAACAGTTACGTGTAAGCCGCCCCAGCCACTAGCTCTGCAGTACAGTCTACGGCCATCGAGGCTGTGAATAATTCCATTACAAATCATCCGGGGAAAACGTGTTAGGCCTAGTGGGGGAAAACGGACGGCTGTGGTTAATCATGGAAATATAATCAACAAGAGGACACTAACAATGGCTAGACATTACGTAACGGTGCACATCTTCGGATAATGTTTTGCAAGCTTTTTTTTGTCTATTCATTATAATAGTAATTTTGCTACATTATAAAAACAGGTCCCATTTGTTATTTCGTTATTGTTTATCATTATTATTCATTTTGACATTAACAACTAAAATGGTTGTGAAGCAAGACACGTGGACTGAGTATAGATACCCAAACATTAATGTGCGATTAATAGCCAACGAAATGGGAACGCAGTGTGCAAATATTGTCACAGATATTTGTCGCTGCTTCAGGTTTCGCACCGTCTGCTGTGATCGAAGTTTTGCCGGACCAACTTGGGGGAAATAAGTGCTCGCGATGTATTAATTAAAATTTGTCGGGTTATTGACTGAAGGGTTATTAATCACGTTTACCATCAGAAGGTAGCTGGTGTTAATGATAAGACCGTTTTAAACATCATCCAACTTGAGGCTCCCTGTCTGTAACGCGTACAGGCAGGGCCATCAGGCAGGGCCATTAGGGGCATGTTGACTCATTGCGGGTGTTATCAGAGGTGTGAAGTAGCTGATCCTTTCGATGGAACGGCTCTAGTGAGCCCGGATGCCCAGTGAGAATTGAGGGCGCTACACATGGGGGTGCAAAACGTAGGGGGCTGGGGACTCTTGACTCAAGAACCCCCCTGAGTTGGTCATTGAACCCACTGATCCCCATTCACTCCATTGACTCTCCTATAGACCCCTTGCATCTGACGTCACATCTGAGGGCAGGTTTTTGTTCTTCTGTGTGAAACGCACTAATAAACGTTTTATGTACTTTCATTAGGCCTATCACTGAGTTTAAGTAAGAAAAGCATCCCCCAGTGAGGGCGCACCTTGCAAGAGGTCTATATTATACCGTCCCTGCATTCTGTTGGAAGACCAAGAGGTACGAGACCAACTAACCGTATTGAGGAATTTCACGTGACGTCACAGGTCAGTGGTCACCCACACGCCCTCTATACTGAACTCCTGCGGTTGCAGACTAGTAAATAAACTGAGTGTAGGCCAACAGTGTTTTTACGTCGGTAAAGGGCTAAACCTAATATTGAATTTACATCACCCCGACGCAAATTCCATCTTATAGTTTAGGCCTAATTACGGTACCCGCTGCTACATCAGATTCGAACCAGCCAACCGATCCCGCAAGCTCGGTGGTCGAGTGGTCACAAGACGTCTGCTTTAGAAAGTAGGAGGTCGTGAGTTCGAGTCCCACCCGAGTGATTTGTTCTACCTTTCACTCGGGAGGTAAAGGCATATACAGTGTTTATACGTCGATGAAGGGCAAAACCTAATATTGAACTTACATCACCTCGACGCAAATTCCATCTTATGAATAGCTAAATAAACTACCATAGATGGTAGTGATGAATACGCCCACTTCCGAATTCAGGAAAAATACTCACAACTCTCCAAGGCAAGGTGTTTGAGACCCAAATCAAATTAAGTCTTAATTCATCATCTTTCATTTGTTCTGTTCATTTTGTACGGGGGGGGGGGTGTTAACCGATGACTTTTTGGAGAAAATTCCATTCGAAGATGATCAATGCAATTAATGATAATGCAATGTACACGTTCTTCCTCCATGATGTACTGTGCGATCAATCGATTGAGCGCCGCGCTAAATGTCCAAAATAGCAGATTTTTTTGCGAGTTTTTCACCGTTCACGTGATAAGCTCACGTGGATGCAAAACCTCCACTGCAAGCTAAGTCCAGTAACATTTGCCCACATGCTTCTTGCTCGATGGTCTCATTCGACGTTTAAGCCACGGTTAACATTGATAGTTTTATCTAATTGGCTTTTTTTCTCGATCGAAGGGAATTTATCAGACAGATGTATATTTTCAATTTGTTCGTTTGTTCACTTTTCCTTCACAGCTCCAAGTCTGAAACGTGCATGGTTCACAAAAGTTAGTTTAAATATATAATTATAAGATCACAAAGACAATATCTATAATAACAAATGTAAAGATATAAATAAGGACTAGAAGTAGTTTCTGTTTAAATACGTGGGGGAAAAAAAGGGTAAAATGAAAATGAAAACAAATTCAAACAAGAAAATATACTGTATATTTATAAGAAATGTGACTGCTAAAGTCATTGGATAGAATGATTACAAATACATATAGTTAAAGCTAACTGAAACAAGAGGAGTTCACGGCTACAAAAACCAATCGTGGATTGCATCAAATACACCCGCACAATTGGACTTAAATTGTTCATTGTGGCAACGGCAGCTATATAGTAGTGCCTATAAAAATGTGCCAAACCTAGAACAAAGTACGGTAGCTTGGCATGCAACTGCCAACAAGCTTCACAAATCTGAGAGAACGAAACCGAAGATTTACAGAATCACAAAAAAAAATGTTGTCTTTATAAGATGTTTGATATTTCATTCGGCAATAATACATAGGCCTATTGTATGCGATTTCAGATGAAAATAATAGTTGTAACATTTTTCATGTTTGGAATTCCGTTGATGTTGCTGTCTCAATGTCCCTGTCTGTATACCAACATCAATTTATCATATATTTTACTCATTGTCAAATTATATCAGTAGGGAGTATGTATATTTAAGATATCGTCTTCATAGTTGAATGTCAGTGATCATTTGGTAGGTCATGTGATTAATGAGCGAGGACCGGCCGATAAAGTGCACGGCTTAGGTGGGTGTATTAAAAATATATATCCATCTTTTATCTACAATTCTAATTCGTAATATGACACGTATGTTGTTTTAAGCAGTTCCTGTACTTTACGCAATATGCCGAATTACATTACACAGGGCTGCAGTTTTTGTGGCGAAAATGAAGCCGATGCACTTTCGTAATTTTTTTGCCAGAAAGTTAGCGCGAGATTAATATTAACAAAATGTGCAAACTACAGTGTTCTTAAGATCGGACATTATAAGAGAAAACACATGCACATATGAGAAAAAAGAGTAGAAGTAATCCCCTTATGTCGTAATTATCGAATAATAGGTGGCAGATCTACATGGGAGTTAGGGGGTTTAACCCTCTCCCCCCCCCCCTCCCCCGGCCGCAAAATAGGAAAATCGAGAAGAGAACACAACAAATACCTCTTAAACCCCCTGAGGCAGTTAACCCCCCTCCTTCATCCAAACCTGGATCCGCCCCCGAAGAGGAAATGTATAGCGAATGTACAACATTTGGTTTTGCTGTAATTTTCAGAAATGAATGGATTTGGAGGATAAACTGACTTGTTTCACGTATTGGGTTTGTAGATGTCATGGAAAAACCAAGAAAACCAATCATGTTCTTGAAGTCTGGTTTCCTGACCCTACTCAAGATGAAACGGAGCAATTTATAGACTTTGGGGAACTGTAAGGTCAGAGAATCAGTCTAGCAGGCTTGTACCCCTTCACAGGTGTGCAATCAATTGCAAAGAAAATGCGGAATAACTCAATATGAAAAATTAGGAGCAGTTATTGAAAAAAGCCAGTTTTCTCCAATTAACGCTGGTCGGCCGACCAGTGTTGGAAAAATAATTTGTTTCTTGAAAATGTCAGCACACCAGTGGCCACGATTTTACAAGATGCTTTAGACTGTCATTCCCTAACAATCCAGTAAGGTATTTTATTATTATTATTATTCGACCAAAATTACAAACACAGAGATGGGCCAGGGCAGCAAAAGTATTGGTCGCGATGTTGCCCAATTTCGTTAAAAAAAAAGATCATTTCTTTTTTCTTTTATTTTTTGATGTTTGCAAATGTTGTGTCTTCTATTTATACGAGACCAAATCATCTGGAATTGGAACACAAAGTGAAGGAATACAACACCGATGCACTATTTCAAGAGGTCTTCGACGCGTTGGTAATTCGTACACTTCATAAACCATGTCACACGGCAACGTGTGATGCAACATTTGCAGTTGAACTATTGCAGTGTATTGCATTACAAACTGTTTGAACACGTTTACCTTTGCATTTTTCAGATAAAAAGGGTGCATTTTAAATTTGAACAGAATCATGAAAAGGCCAAAATGACCAGTCGATTCAAATCAAAACTCAATGTTATCTGCAAAAGAAAGTCAGCATCGAGCGCAGGAGCCGGAGTAATGGGGTAGGATGGTATTATGTCCTCCATCCATTTTCCTGTTTGCTTTATGGCCTAAAATCAACAATCATGACATATGATCGATTTTTTTAATTTATTAGAATATGTGATATTATATTTCTATAATGTTTAAAAGAATCAATAATTTGCCTTTGGGATTCTGTTTAAACATTGAATCATGATTGTGAATCCAATCTGAAGGCATCGAATGGATTGTGCTTGACAAGATGAATTCTTCTTCATTCGCGACCAGAAAAGTGATAAAATTAAAAATAGAATAGACAACATGTAAAACATATTTTGCCTGATGGTTCATTCACTATACATTAATACAAATATTATTTCATATTCACGGGAAAGCAGACGCAAAACTAGCCAAGCGAAGAAACTTTGCCATCCCGCAGTGCAAAACTGACCCGCATAAAAAATACCGATATAATATTTTCATGCATCATATCATAATAGTTGCATACGTTAGGCAGTATTATAGAGTTCGAGTGCACGTGTTTGTGATGGTAGTGTATTTATTCTTTTCTTTGAATAATTGCCTGTTGCAGCAAATAAGACCAACTTACAATGGTACTTGTGAAAGGCACTAGACCAGAACAATCATATTTTTCTGCACGCCAACAGTGTCACAGCGGATGAATGCATATTTGAAGTGGAATAAATTAGCATAGCGTCCACCTTTATGACACGCTGTGCAATGAAGGTTTTTTTTCCCATCTTTAAACATGTATAGGCCTATCTTACCAAACTACATTGACATGATATCGTTTTCGAACTCGAATATCGATAATCGAAGAGCTATAGTCATGTATGGCAAGATGTCCGCGTCAACCACCAACTGACGTTGCAACAAGTAGAAAAAAATCAGCCGAGTTGAGAGCCCAATTAACAATTTTGGTCATCATTGTCTGCTTTATGTGTGTTTTCAGACGCTGAGGGTTTGGCAGTCTGTCTGCGTTCCATAGCGCACATAATCCGATTTTAGAAAAGCAACCAAAAAATTACATTGCCGATTAACGATATATTGCGAGCCATGCGATGTTGTTAATTTATTCATGTTTTATTGACGACTTGTCCTAACTCAACAAGTGATTCTGTGGTCTGCCGGTTACGTGCCAACGACAAAGGACTACTCCATACACAGGGGCGGATCCAGGATTTTTGCGGGGGGGGGGGGTCAGGCCCGTCAAATTTGTTAATGTCCGATTGCTGCGAACAGGCAGCAACATTGTTATGCAGCACATTGTTACTTATTTTGTTTTATTTCTTCATATTTTTTTTGCTGTCAGAGCAAGTGGGGCGGGGGGGGGGGGTCGACCCCCAACACCCCTTGGATCCGCGCCTGCTATAGTGCTTCTTAACACCAGCAATGTGACATATTTGTCCGGATTCTCGGTAGGGCAGCTCGGTGAATTCGACCAGAGACCCTCCCAAGTCATCTCAGCTATAGACGAGATGTGCATTGACATGTTACAGTGTTAGCTTAGTTTTTTGTCATACATACATCCCTATGTGAATTGTTTTCGTTTTGCTGAAAGAACACTTAAGCTATTTTGTGATCCGTGGACAGAACTTTAAAACGGTGTTTGTGCTCAAAATTCCGTAACTTGAAAAGTACACGAGTGATTACAACGATTCTTGTACTCCAAGAAAGCTTATAATATGGGCTTTCATATTCTAGATTTTGAAATTGCTGCATGCAGAACGTCATTTAAAAAAGAGTCCTGACATTTGGGTTTTCCTTTTTTATTTACTCACCCTATAAGTATACATTTTTGCGTGTGTGATCAAATACCTGATATACACAAGAGGACACTCGAGGACTTTTATTTAATTATAAGACATGGTGTTCTGTTAATCTGCCCATATTATATTCATCAATGTACAGTTGCTAACGCCCTCAGTGTGTCCCAGAAAAGGCGAGCCCAGACAAATCAGCGGCCATATAAAAAAAATATTCACGTCAGACTAAATTTTGTTTTTTTTTGTCCATGTTGTTGATGATGTTTACTGTCTGTGAAGAAATTAACTGAGTTGATTCAACGCTTTTAATGCTATGGCAATAGAAACGTAAGGCTCTTTAAAAAAATTCGAAATTCACACATTTTCAGTTTCACGTCAACAATCGATATTAC